GCTGGGACGCACTGATGTTACTGGGTCTCACTGCCCTGGCACACAAAATTTATTCTGCCATTGAATCCATCCTGTCAATGGCTGGTCATGGCTTTTGGAGACAGAGTTTCACAGTGAGCAAGAAACTTGCCTGTGAATAAGTAACCCAATTTGCTTCTTATAGACCTACAGGGCCATGGGAAGTATTTCTGGAGCTTATGCCGCTGCTGTGGGGAATTGAGGGATGTTTGCTTACAGTAGGATGGGATTTAGCTGAAGTCTCCCCCAATGAGGGAGAACCAGGTGGATCTGTTCAGGCACTGTCAAAACAGACGTGCTGCTCTCAGGATCCAGATCCCTCAGAACGCTGGTTTAAATCACAGATTTCAGTTGTCATTTGGAAACACACTTCCAGTTTGGTGATTGCTCTCACAGCTGCACAGATGTCCTGGTCGAGCTCACAGTGGTTCTGGTGCAACTGGGCTCCCCTCAGACTGCATGGTAACTGCCAAACTGCCACTTCTGATAAGGGTTTGTGGAGTCACAGGCCTTCACCCTCAGGGCTCTGTAAGAGGGATCCACTTCCAAGCAAGCTGGCTGCGGGAGGTGCTGGTGCTCAGAGATGATGTGGTCGGTCTGCAGGGGAGAGAGGGAGAGCTCAGGGGGGCTCAGGCTTTAGGGGGCTCAGGCTTCAGGACTCCTGCAGCAGCAGCAGCTCTATTTTCCCTCTGAGAAATCTCCATTCCTTATGGTGTGCCCTTTTTTGGCATGTCCTTAACACATGAGATCCCTTTGCTGACTTATAGGGTGGGATCCACGCCCATACCTGCTGCTGAGCCAGGATCATGCCACACCTGCTGTGCTTCCTGGCTTTTCCTTCTCTGGGAATGGAGCTCCCTGGACATTTTCATGGATTTCTCACGAAGTGAAATGAGAATTTCAGAGTTTTCAGTAAGTGGATGACAATTCTCCTGTGTTTCTCCCCAAACACCCACGGAGGGCCTGTGGTGTGCTGGCCTTCAACACTTCTGTTTTTTCAGCCTAAAGAGGAACTCGTCGACATGATAAATATGTAACTTAGCTACATTTTTCTTTTTTTAAATGAAGAGCATTTTTTTCTCAAATATAAACTATGCCATTTTGGAGCATTTTTGACAACTGCTAGACCAGGCTGACAGATACAGCCCTGACCCTCGCTTTGTGCAGTGCAGGCAGTTAATGTAAGTATCCATCCTTTTCCTTTCCCTAAATGCTTTCTTTAAAAACCACTGTGAGCTCAGAGCCAATCAATACTGAGTCATCTCCCTGTAAGTGCTATCGATGGTTTCTGTGTAAAGCCAGGACTTTTTGTTACTGCTGCAGAGCCAGCACAGCCAGAGTGCCCCAGCCTGGCACGGGAGCTCAGCACTTGGACCAACACAGCAGGGAGGCAGGAGGAAGGCAGAGGAGCCAGGGACCAAGGCTGAACTTTGGCAAGGTGGAGGCCAGAGGGTCGGGGTACCCTGTGCTGGGCTCCACTGCCTGCCTGTGTGCTGGCACCGAGGCTGAACGCTGCCCAGCCCGGGAGGTCACTCACCAGCCCTGGCTGGACAGTGGCCAGGGACCCGTGGAGCCAGGCCAGGCTGAGGCTCCTGCCCTGGCAGCGGCGCAGGCCCAGGGCTCCCACGACGCCCGACGGGGCCAGGCAGAGCTCACCGTGCTGGATCAGCCTCAGCCAGGTGTAGTTGAACTTCTGGTTCTGTGGGGAGAGAGCAGGGAGAGCTGTGACCCATCAGGCTCCACCGCGGGCTGAGCCATCCTGGCTGATTGCCTTCCCCTGCCCTCACCCAGGACCAGGTCTGAGGAAAGCTGAGCCATGGCAATGCCTTTCCCGTGGATTTGCAGGGCTAAAGAGCTCAGGACAGCACCAGCACCAGCTCTGGGAGTGACTCCTGCTGCAGCAGTCCAGACCCCAGACCCAATTGCTGCATGCCCTCTGCCCTGCCACCTCCCCTGGCTGTGCCCAGGGATAAACCCCCGTTCGTAACCATGTACTGGTCTCTGCCAGAGCAGGGAGCAATCAGCAGGGAATTGCCTAAAAAAACACTGCCTAGGAAGGAATCACGGAATCCCAGAATGGTTTGCGTTGGAAGGGACTTTAAAGCCCATTCTGTTCCATCCCTCTGCCCTGGGCAGGGACATCTCCCATCAGCCCAGGGTGCCCCAACCCCATCCAGCCTGGGCTGGAACACTCCCAGCACCCTCACAGGGAACAATTCCTCCCCAATATCGCATCTAACCCTGTGTCAGTGTCAAGCCATTCCCCCTCATCCTGTCACTCCAGGCCCTTGTCCAAAGTCTCTCTCCAGGTCTCTTGGAGCCCCTCGAGGCACTAGAAGGGGCTTCAACGAAGGGAAAGATGTCCACAGTAGCTGCTTCCCCTCTAGCCCTGAGTGCAGCTGGATGTTTTGCAGCAGCACACAAAGCACAGGCTGCTATTTAAATGTTTCTCCCTGTTTTCCTGTGCAGGCTTATGGATTTATCAAACTTTCTTATTCCAGCCGTTCCAAGCTGCTGCCTGGCTACAGGCTGTGCCAACAGGTAATTCCTGGCCCTCGCTGCTCCCAGGCACTGCTTGGCCATGTCCCCAGGTGGGAAGGGCTGTGTTAGCTCCCAGGTGTGCCCAGGTCACCACGGGGCCAGGAGCTCCACGCGTGCGCTCGGAGCAGCGCGGCACACTCGGTGAGCAGGTCCTTACCGCGTTGTTCACGTCACACTCCTCAAAAACCAGAGTGGTGCCTTCCACAGTGACACATCCTGCCAGGGCCATGTTAACGAGCTGGAAAACAGCAGCAAAATGCAAGTTTAGACATAAATTCCCAGGAAAGGGGAGAGGCTGTTATACTGCACTTAACCTCTGGATTCCCAGGGCTCTGTTAATACTGTCCACATCACTGAGCGAGGCAGAGAAGGCTGTTCCAGGCCAGGCTGTTTGGCTTGGAGCACCCTGGGCTAGTGGAAGGGGTGGGATGAGATGGGCTTGAAGGTCACTTTCAACCCCTCCACCCTGGGATTCTGTGGTGGAGGAGAGAGAGCCTGAATCTCCACGGTCACTCACGGAGAGGCTTGTGGAGGCAGAGCTGAAC